AGTCCCCATCCCTGGAGGTATTTAACAGACGTGTATATGTGGCACTCAGGGACATGGTTTGGTGGTGGACTTGGCAGTGTTAGGCTTATGGTTGGACTCAATGATCTTAAAGGTCTTTTCCAACCTAAACAATTCTATGATTCTATTCTAGAACACCAATCCAGCTTCAGTGGCTGGCCACAACCTTGGTGTCTGTCAGCAAAATAACCAGATTTCCACACAATTTTGATTTTCATGACCCTAAACAGCAGAATTTCTCCACCAGAAATGGTTTTGTCAGAAGACTGCCTCTGCCCCATGAGCACAGCGTGGCTGCTGCCCTGACTCACTGACACGCCAAGGGATGTCTGTACTGCTGCTCAATAACTATCCCTTCTCTCTCTGCTGTTTTATATCTACTGATACCTTTTCCTTTGGCTTTTTCTTTTTGCTCTTCTTTCCTTTGGGGTCTGGTGAGGTTGACCGGGGTTCATCCTTCAGATCACTCTTCCTCTGCGGTGGCTGGTCACTGCTTGGCGTGTCATCAGCAGCTGAGATGCTGCCCTGCTTGAAGCAAAGACGGGGAGGTCAGAGCTGTTGCAGAGATGGAGAAAAGGTGCCTTTTCCTCAATTTCCCAGTTTTAAGCTGCTCTGAGTACACGAGTGGGCAACTCTTTAGCAGCAAAGCATGACAGACTGCCTCAGACAGCTGCTGTGGTCATGCTCAAGTGATGGCTCCGAACAGATGTCATCACAGCATGTTAGGGATTGGAAGGGACCTCGAAAGATCATCCTGATGGGTTTTATGCGGCTGGTAATGTGGGGCTGTACCTTGCTCTGTACCACTTCATCCCGCGGTACCGACTGAGCTCGCCTTTCCTCCTTCAGCCTCTCTCTCTTCTTCCTCAGGCTTCTTCCACGGTTAAAGCGTGAGACCTGAAGTCAGACCACACTGTTACTCAGTGACATCACGCTCTTTCCTACCAGAGAAGCCAGCAATAGAGACCTTTTTCACCTCCACTAAAAGGCAATGGATAAAGGAGGGTGCACTGCTAGATGGACGCTGATGGGCCAAGCAACGTGGGTGTTTATAGCCATAAAAACACACCACCACTGAGCTAGGGGCACTTTGCTGTCCGCTGGAGGGGCCACTGCCTCCTCCTGCGTCCTCCTGTGTCCTCAGGCTGGTTGCCAAGCCAAGCCCAGCCCTTCTCACGCAGAGGTGACAAGGAGGAGCAGGATGGGATTGCGCCTGGTCTCATACCAGAATACAGAGCCCTCCCACGGGCCTTCTGGCCTGAAGAACATTGTAGCATTTCACACACAGCAGCAGAGTATAAACAGGACATTTTGTCCCTATTTCAAAGCATCTTCCAGCGCGAGCAACCATCTTGGGAATGGGACACATCTGAGGCAGGCAGCTGAGTGACATAACCCAGGAGCTTTTGGGTACGGGGCAGCTTCCTAACCCTTGGGCCACCACAGGGAATAAGTACCTCTGGCTGCTCCATCCTCTGCCAGTCAGGGCAGCTGGACCTCTGAGAACCCTTGATGCTGAGGCTTAATCTGCACATCTTGCTGGGCTTGGAGGCTGAAAGACTCCATGTCAATAGACCTGAGGCCAGCAGGCAATGCCAGCAGAAACACAGGCACCTTTCGCAGCGGAAGATGAAGGACTGGGAGATGTGGTCTCTCAAGGTTAACTGGCCTCAGCTCCATGCGTATGTGTGTGTTGGGGAGAGATTTGTAACATACCTGTGATGCTTTAGTGAGGAGGAGTGCAACCTCAGGGTTATTGTGCTGTCTGGCAACCTCTAGAGGGGTCTGACCTGCCTGAGAGGAAAAAGAAAATGGCATTTCCCTCAAAACACGAACTGCTGGAAATGTGGAACTTCTCTACCCAAGGTTAGTACATGCTCTGTGCACAAGAGTACAGTGACTAACTGCTTTAATTTACCCAGATTTAATTCAACTCTAACACCCAAATATTTTCTACCAACACTGTGAAGAGTGTTGAAGGGAGTCTGCACTAATACAGAGTACCAAAGAAACTCCACGTCCTGCTTACATTGTTGACAACGGATGCATCAGCTCCTGCCTCCAGCAACAGCTTAACCACCTTCCTGTGATTCAGAGCAGCAGCGACATGGAGCGCAGTATCCCCTGCCTGCAAGTTAGAAAGCAGAAAACAACTGTGTAACACAAGCCCTTGGGTCTCACCCTGCAGAAATCACACCTTCCTAGAAGATGCTTGGAGGTCAAAAGACCTACACTTACTGATGCAACAACTAAGCTTAAATAAAGTCTGGTCAATAAAAAAAGCAGAGTTGGGAGGAAGGGGACAGGAGGAAGCAAGGAGCTATTCCAGGGCAAGGACCTACTTCAGCCTGGTTTTGAGAAATGCAGCCAGGGTGCCGGTGATCTGGTTTAACTAAACTGAGTGACATACAACACAGGTTGGAGGCCGCTCAGCTCTACTGCTAGCAAACAGATACGGCATCTGAGGGCAGAACTGGTTTTCCCACCACAACCTTCCTTTTATTTTCCCCAAGGTTTGATTATCTGGTGTGCAGGTGGTCATGTATCACGTTACTCCAACATAATCAGGTAAGTACCAGCAGCAAGATGGCTGGTGTTCTCTTCAGCAGATTCCTCAAGAAAAACAGTTTTTGGACCAAAGCCAGGAGGTGATCCAGGTCCAGCAGTCACACACTGCCCTGCCCTTGTCCTGGTGCAGTGAGGTGAAGACAGCTGTGATCAGATTCAGGCACTGGTAACAGAGCCAGCAGCTGTTCAAGGGAGACCAGACACGTGCATATAATACCCTCCTGTCCCCTTTGCCTCGCATTTTGCCTTCAGAAAATCAGGTCTCCTCAAAACTAGTGGAAATCTATTGCTTGTTGCTAACTTGGATGAGGCATGTTCATAAATAAAATCATTGTATGTGCAAATACAGAACAACCTCGGGTAGTGCTGGGGAATGAAGGAAAGGGGTGTCTCTGTATGCCAGGTTCACATCAGTTAATCTTAATATTCAGTATCTCATTTTGCAAGTTAAAAAACTCATTTCCAAATAAAATTACATAGTAAATTTAAAACATTGAAACTCATTTTGTTTGCTGTAATATCTTATATCTAAGAAACAAGATTAAACGTACAGATCAGAAAACATCTTTATGATCCTCAACTATGGAAAATTTCCCAGGAACATGAGACTATGTGGTTAAGCACCACATGACCTGTTTATTTAGCAGATTTAACACATTTTAATGTACTAAATCCATTCCCTTCTAGCACCCAATTAGGCTGTGCTATAGGTACAGCTTCTCGATAAAACAGCTACGGATGATTAACCCTAGGGTTAGACTGATCACGACTTTGAATTTAAAGCATACTTTTTCTTCACTTTTAGGTCCTCTTAATCCCTCCTACTGCAAAATGCAGCAAAGAAAAGTATTCCAGAGGAATCTGCACATTTGTAGCATCTGAAGGTTAGTGAGTTCTGCTTCACAATGTCTCTGTAATGGCTGTAGGATCATTAAATTCTAGTTACAGAGGACAAAAGGGGCCTTTATAAAATAACCAAGTCTCTTGCCCAGTCCCATTCTGCACAGAACTGGTAAGGACTCGGAAGTACCACCTCCTAGCCCTGTGCTACTACCCCTGTCCCATAGCCCCTTTCTACACCACCTTACAATTGCACAACCTCATAAATAGGCAATGCTTTAAAGAAATGATGCAAATGCAATGGCAAAATAATAATCCACTGATATGCCATTACTTTAGGGCTTTTCTTAAAAGCTCAGGCATTTGGTGGTACAGTGAAACACAGCGCGAAGCGAGATTACTTGGGTAGGAATCCCTCCTCCCAACAACCAGCTGTATGTGAAGGGTGCAGAGTCGCAATGAGGTTCATGCACTGACCTGGTTCTTTTCATGGACAGAACAGAAAGCACTGAGCAGCACCCTAACGATGGGCAAGTGATTATAACGAGCAGCCACATGCAGACAGGTATCTCCTGCCTGCAAACAGAAACAAAGCTCTGAGCATGTAATCACTGTAAGAAAGCTTGCACTTGTCATGGTGTTAAGGGATGAAATAATCCTATTAAACCAAAAAGAGCAGTAAATGCCACACACCTCCACCGAACAGCAATGCTGTCTTCTCTGCAGTACAAAATCTACTATTGTGGGCAGGGAGGTTTAGCAAGAGCTGGTGTCAGGCAAGGTGGGGGTAAGAATTCTTAACCACGGATGGGAAATACTGGAATTATAAAATGCTGGTTTACTGCACTACGAAAACTGATTTACATTTTTACATGAAATCTGTTCTTCTGACCCAAACCAATGAGATTTGGAAACTCTGCTTGGTGTCACACATAATGAAGAAAATGAGAAGAGTGGGGGCCAGAGCAGTGTCCCCACGAGGGGTAGCACATGCACAGCTGGGACTGGGACCTGGGAGCAGAGCCCCATGGGTTTCCATTTCTGTGTGCCTCTGCCCACCTTGTTATCAAGCAGGGACAAAAACATCTGGCTTCCTTTTGTAGGTTTGTTTTTTTCCTTTGTCATGCCAGATCCATTATAAAATAGGAGGAAAGCTGTCTGAGATTGAAGTCATCCTGAATCTACCTCATTTGACAGACCAACACACAGTATATATTATCTGTCTCAGTGAGGGCAGGTCTGAAGACTTTCACCACTCTGGCATAAAACCTTTTTAAGATTTCCATCTTTTTGAGAGAGGAGCTCCTTTGCAGACCACAAAAAGCAGCAAAGGACCAGCTGCCTCGGTCTGTGCAACAGCCAAACCCCCTTTGGTCCTTCCATCCCCACTCAAGAGATGGGTACAGGTAGTGTGTTACTCAGTCCTACCAAAAGCATTCCTGCAGACAATGTATACAATGATTTATTAGTGGTTTTTTTTCAATAGCATTTATAATAAAAATCACAGCTTAAAGCATTTCTGAGTCTTTCTACAAGTTAAAGCAATATAGCTAAAACAAAGGCACACAGAAACAATGTTCTTTTCAAAACTCACATTATTTTTTAGGTCTGCTCGAGATCCACCAAGTAACAAAACACGAGTACTTTGGGAATGGCTGTTCTGGCAAGCCAGGTGAAGAGGTGTGTTACCTGCCTTAGAGAAATACAGGAAAACATAAAAGCCATATTTAGATATTGGACATAAGCATTAAAAAATAAAAACCTCACAGGTCTTCCCACAAGCAGATCCATCCAGGGGTGGGAAACCATCAGTGTTATTTTCCCAATGTTACAAGCTGAATGAACCTGGAGACTGAGATACCCTCTCCATCCTGGAAATGATTTATCTGGGATACAGTAAAGGCAGAAATTGGACAGTCTAACGATATCTGCATTGCTCAAGTCTGTCTGCAGGAAGCAAAGACTCCAGAAACTGTCTGGTTCATTAATATCAAACAGCACTATCAAGTATTTAATTTAAAGAAGTATAATTATTGTGTTTTGGGTTTTTTCCCATGCACGCACCACTATGGCACCGCATCTCTGATCTCAAGCAAAGCCGTCTGCAGCTGCTGCAGGGTGTCAGGCAGATGAGGGTCACAACAAATTCCATTTCCTCATGATCGTAACACAAACCGGCTCCAAGGCTGGCTGGGGCAGTAGGTGCTCTCACAAGGCAGGAGGCAGATTTTAGGCTATTGGGAAGCTTTAATGTTCAGAAAGGGCAACAGTTTCCAGTAAAGATGAGAAGGGAAAAAACAAAGCCACCCAAACCCCCGAGAACGGCATGCAAAGGCTCCTGAAAGAAGCAAACACACCATTTTTACAGAGAGAAATCAAAAAAGACTTCGCCTGGGTATTCTCCTTCTAACACTGTGAAGGTTTTTATTGGTCTGACAAGTTTTTCTTGCTGCATTTGGCTTTTGTTGGCCTGAAAGTGTTTGGAGGTTTTGGCTCTTGGGAGCCAGAAATGAAATAAGCTCAGGTAAAAAGGTTTCCCTTAGCTTACTAGGTTGCCTGTTCACCTTTATTATGTCCTTTAATTTGTCCCCTAGGCTTCCAAGGCACAGATCAAAGCTGCAGGGTTTGAATTACAAAAGGCCAACTCCTAGATGGGGCCTTAGGTCTTCAGTTCCATGCTACAGACTATTTCAGGCCTGAATATAGTTTCCAAGTTGTGGCAGACATGAACATTTTATTTCTCAGCTAAATTGCATTTAAGTGTCATTTTTTTTTCCCTCATGGATTTATCTCTGAAAAGCCTCTGCAATGTCTTTATCATTTGCAGTTTGGAAGGTCTGGTGAGAAGGCAGGGAGGTCCTGTGCAGTAAGTGATGGGCGAGGACTTCAGTGCTGGGAGAAGTCACCATGCTGGTGCCTGGGGTCAGGGCTCACAGAGCAGGTTCATCTGTCTCATCTCCCACGGGGTGACAAATCTCTGATCAGCTTCTGTGAGAGGGAGAGTGGGTCTGAGTTGTACCAATCCAGGGGTCTTCAATGGTCTACTGAATCTTCACTGAAATGTACAGCCTGATAGAGGCTACAGGTGATCTCACAGGATGACCTATCACAGCAGAAGACTTTTTATTAAGCTAATTTGACCACAAATAAACTGCATCTCCAGGGTAACTGCTGCATAGGATTGCTGCATTTCACTTAATATAGAAGCCATCTTCAATTGCATTGCATATTACATACTGTGCTCAGGGTGCGGTGCTGCACGAAGCACATCCGTACAAGCGCTCCTCAAGCAGTCCCCCCAGGAGACAATAACCAGGAGTTACAGAACATAGAGAGTCAAATCCTTCCTGTCTTCTGCTGCTTAGCAGGGTTTGGCCTGTATCTGTCCTACCCAGCCAAAATTGCATGACGCTCAGGCGTTTACTTACCCCATAGGTAGCACCCCATAGGGTGCTCCTGCACATGGCACTCAGCCCTGCCTGCCAGAAAAGCTGTCAGAAAGATTATGCCTTGTCATCAGTAACATAAAAAGTTGAGAGATCAGAAAAAAAACATTTGGGGATTAAGTTGACTTAAACTCTTCATTCTTCTTGAAATTGAAAGGGGTAAAAGCACCTGCATGTGTGCAAGCGAGCACCATTCCCACATTTTTCAGCGGCTCCTGAGAAAAGATCCTGTCCATTAAAAACCACCCAGACACTGAAATGCAAAGAGAGGGGATTGTGTAAGACATCAAAGGCCAGTGCAGGACCTGCTCATGCAGTATTAAAGTCTGCCTGTCATATTGCAGACATCAACCCCGCTGAGCTATTGTGTGCATGCTTTCCAAGAGAGGTTGTCTCCAGTTGACATAGGCTGTATTGTAGGCTAAATCTTCTAATACCCTGAGGCATCCAAGCATCCAGGATAACCAGACTTGCATCTTAAACCCGTACCTTTGTACAGAAGTATATGTATATACATAGCAAGCGTATCCAGAGATAGAAGTACAATGGTTCACAAGACTATAAAATCAAGCATGGGAAGTTGTTTAAAGTACCTTTGATGCAAATGTAGGTGAAAATTACAGCAAAAATAATTACAGAAAATAAAAATTGGAAGTTGGAACAACATAAAAGAAGGAATACACATAAAATAATATCAAAGATGATGTAATTACAGACCACAAAGTGACCAGATTGTACAAATATATGCATATATACTGCACATATACATATGCACATACAGAAACACTATGCCCAGGCAATGTGCCTTTTTACTCAAAATCCTAGACTTTGGCCAGCTGTCTCCCTTCTTCCTTTTCCTCACTGGCCCCTTTCAGTTGTTTTTTTAGAGACACATTTACCAAAAAATGCTGAGAGATTCCATAAAGCCATCCCAAAGCCCTCTCGCCTCTAACGAAGGACCCTGTGCCAGCCATGCAATCTGACCGACCCATCGGCACGGGGCTCCGAACCCTGACCCAGCTCACACCAGAGGCTGCTGCCGCCACTTCCTACACTATTCCATTAACTTCTGAATTAGTGAATTAGAGAAGTCTCCCGCAGGTATTACAACTAGAGTGGAACTAAAACCCCTTGCTTTGTTATTCCTTCCTCTAAACTGCTCTCAAGGTATTATAAATACCAAAAGGAACATAATCCAGGTTCATTACAAGATTTTGGTAAAATCCTGGGCTAATATATTAGGAAGAACTTTCTAACAAAAGACAGAGAATTTTTTTCCCTCCGTGGCTTACATTCCTTTGGCTGTTTAATTAAAAAAAACCAATGGATTTTGAATGCCATATTCCTATTAGTACAATTCATTTTCATTTTAAATCACACCAATCATAATTAATCTGCTTGGTATAAATTAGAGCACTGTGGAGATTTCCACAGGAATTGGAGTGTTCCTCAGCTGTAATTAATGCCTCATTCAACATTGCTATTGAGTTCCTCCTGCATCAGCTGGCAAAATACAAATTTCCTAATGCCTGTGGAGGAACCATCGAGGCATAATAAATGCAAAAAAAGAAGAAAAAAAAATACCACTAGAAGCTGGTCCCCCACCTGCTGAGAAATGCCATGGCCAGAAATCTCCAGGGATGAGAATCAGCCACCTTACACCAGAACTGAAAGTTGCTCCTGCATGGGTCTCACCTTGTTCTTGGCAAGAACATTGGCTCCGGCTTTAATGAGCACTTTGGCAGACTGACTGAATCCATGCCAACAAGCTTCATGAAGAGCAGTGTTCCCATCCTGGAGAGCACACACACAAGAGAAGGTTAGTGTGCTGCGTCCACACACAGAGTAACATTACATTCAGACTGCAGCAGCTGTATGCCCCACCTGCTCACTTAAAAAAATAAAACATTTTCCTTTCCTACTAGCTTATTGTCTATTTTACTTTTAGAAGAGGGTAAAAATATTGTTATTTCTTTTGTTTGGTACGTGGAATTAGTTATATTTAGTCCCACACTAAATTTTCAGCCTGGGATTCTGTTTCTGGAATAATCACGGGAAACTGTGCAGTGTTTTGTGTAGGGCACAGTATGGTTGTACATTTCTTTAATTCCTCCCTTAATGAGCTGAGAACAGACTCTTAAACCAAAAACTATCAGCCTGACATAAAGAAAAAATAAATTAAAAAATCAGTAATTTATATTAAAGAGATGATACAGCTTTTTTTCAATGTAACTGTTCCAATTACTTTCAAAGCATTGGATACTTACTCAGGAGTATAAACCATGACTTTCTCTCTGAGACCTTAATATTACTGGCTGGCAAGGCTGCCATCCCACAGGGCTTTGCTTTTGCCTGTTACCTTGTCTTGTCTGTCCAAAGCACACCCCTCTTGAATTAGAGCTGCTATAACATCGGTGTTCCCTATGACAGCAGCCCGGTGCAATGCTGTCTGATCACCCTGCAAAAAGAAGCAGATTTGGAATCGGTACCATTCCCACCTTGTTTTGACTCAATGCAAATGCATACTGCCAACAAAAGCTGCATCTTCAACATATCTACTGTTTAAATCCAAGCTGCCTTTGAAAACAGTTCTCAGAAATAACTATCATTAAAGTTACCAAGATGACTGAAGTTATTTGAAAGTATCAGAGAGCTACAAAACAACAGTTTACAGAAGTCTGCAAGTCATCACAAGCCTACAAACAGTGCTGAAGCGTTCTAAAAATCTGGTAGTGCTAGAAAGCAGTGAATCGAACGCATTTGGCACGAGGTATCTCATAATCAACAGTACCTGTAGGGGACTAAAAGGAATTACAGGCTGTTGTAATTCATCATAAAGATCCTCCAGTACTTACACTAACTGGATAAAGCTCTCCCATTTTGGCTCTGATTGCTCCATCACCCCTGCTTAGGATAAGGAGCATGAGAGGAGATTGGTCCCTTCAGCACCTCTGAGGAATTAGTGCTAAGAGTGGAGGCAATTTTATGATGAGGACCACAACTGCAAGACCATCAACTTACTTCATTCAAGCAACTGAGCAATCTTGAGGTCCAAATGACTTTCATTTCTTATTGACCTGCCACGTAGCAGCAACAAGCAAGTTTCTTACATCAGTTTATTTCCTTTATGGCCAAGTTTCTAAAAGAAATTATGATGACAGGGTCATCTCGTCTTACTGCCCATCTATCTTCCCCCTAACAACCGCTGAACTCATTTGCTGAGCTAGAGAGCTCAAGATTAATTTTCTACAAGCCTTCCAGAAATTGAAGACTAGGGAGATGCAAACTACTGGCTCTGCCAATTGGGGTTATCTATATATTTTTATGTGCATGTTGGTGAGACCACGATAAAAGAGGGAGGATAGGAGGACTCATGCAGCAGC